CCAGGTGATTCGTTTTCTGCAGCAGCCGGAAAAAAGGAGACAGGTCGATGATGACGCCAGCGGCTGCCGCGCCACGGCTGGCCCATCCTGCGTTTCAGCAGTCGAGGCGAAGCAAGAAGCTTATCTTTCCTTACCACAAACTGCCAACGGTGTGTGAAGTACTGGTCGCAGTTAGGACCAGGGAAGGAGGGGGAGCTTGTTTGTCAAGCATTGTCCTTTTCCTTCATTGTTATTTTTGTGAGAAAATCCTTAATTAACATTAATTAATTTTGCAAGTTAAAAAAGACACGGATTGTCAAAATTCCTAAGCCATATGAGCATTGTGTCCCCTTTATGCACAATGGCATGTCTTTGAAACATGGCAAAGGGGATGGGGAAGCAGAGGTATACCATTTTCTTCATTTCTTGCGGTGCTCTTTGGCACCTGTAAGTAGACCTTTATAGTCTATCTGCTACCTGCAGTGCCATAGGCCATAACTCTCCTCACTTAATCCTCAAAGGCTGCACTGACCTCATTCTCCATTCTGTTCATGGGTTTTTCTGGCCACACGCTCACACTGGTGCCGGCTTTTGTTCTAAGCTACATTCTGATAGCCAATATTTCTTCCATCACTTTCTCATTTATTCCTTCCAAACTTTTACTTCAATGTTGTGTGAACTTTTAATTCATATGCCACTTACTGGTCAATAATAGTCAACTTAAGTTGAAGAGAACTAGAGCTCACCACGTAGCGGAATAAGAAATAGGGTTGATTATGTCCCTTGCTGGGCTCACTGGCTCCCATGTGCTCGACTAAACACTGGCACTGCGTGACTCCTCACTGCTGACGTAGGCCAGCCCAGTGTGATGTGTTGTTAGGGAAACACAGTGGCATGCCACCCGGCCTAACCTCCGGCCAGAATACGTTCTCATGAGTAACAATGTTGCACTGACTCCTAGTAAACATAATGCCAGCCCTAATGGATCTGCAATATATACACATGCTTCTGAGTATTTGTATGTCTTTGTTCACCTGTGGCCTCCTTCTTCTGTCACAGCCAGGGTGTGCTGACAAGCTACAGCACCTTATAATATTACCGACTGATGTTTTTAAAACAAATTTCATATCGGCTTAATAACAAAAATTCCAAAGTGGGAATTTGCTGTCTCGGCCCACACTGTGTGTAGAAAAGGCTGTCACACATCTGCACTGCACGTTACTGTGATTTGACCAAAGCTCCTAAAATGTTTGGAATTTTTAGGTGGTACAAGAAGGGAGGACAGAAAATTTTGCAAACCTCGAATCAAGCAGGAATGAAGGTTGTTCTTGAAAACAATGATACTCATATTGTGCTTTTAGATATGGTTTCTGTACTTGATTTATTATCTGTTTCCTCATGGAGAAAATATTTTATTGAACTCTTTACTTTTTGTCGCTGAGGGGTCAACAATGACAGATGACTCTGCACTAGAGGTCTTCATACCAACTGACCTCTAGCTCAGTGTGTTTGACCGGTCAGGAAATGTGACAGGCTGTTGTTGCCGCGTCCAGAGATCCATCGTTTTAGTCAATGTGTGTGGGGATTCCCAGTTTGTGGTCATGGTCATACTGGAAGGACTGCATTTTTGTATCGGCTGCTTGTACACTCACAGTGGCAGTGACTTTGAGTCTCTCTCTTCATACCAAATAGGACTCCACAGTCCTGGGAACACCACAGGCACTGCCACACACAGCATACACTCACATTCTCTTGTCAACTCATGCCAGCCTACAGCTGTAAGCAGTTTAACTGACTCAATGTACAGAACAGAGCGTCTTTGTCCTGCCCTGGACTTAAGCAACACATGTATGGAATTCTTTTAAGTAGCTTATGGAATGCACACTTGCACTTGTAGACAAGTGTTTGTACTGGAATTTACAAAAGCAAAAGGCTTTACCGCACTGTACAATGATGAAATAAATGCTTTTCCACAAGGCCTAATAAAGCCTAATAAGAAAAAGTGTTGAAGGAAAGTTTATCGGGAAGTCAGACATGAGGAGCTTTGTCTTAACCTGTTTGTCCGAGTGTCAGTCCCCTGGCTAAAGGACAAAGAGGTTAGGACCCCCCTTCAAAATGAGGAGCTAAGCGAGGAATATTTGCAAAGGTGGACAAGGGGTAGGGGAGGGCTGCAGTACAGTATGGAAAAGAGTGGTATTTGCTATGGTATTTATAGCTTTTGGGGAAGTGACATCATGCAGGGTTCTGATTTAGAGTAAGAGAGCTGAAGGAGAACTTGGTCGCTGTAACTCCTGAAATGTCATTAAATGCAGAGAACTGTTATGGGTGTTTTTACTTTGTATTTAAAAGCAAAGTTTCAAGCAGGTGCTAGTAGATTAGACTTAGTGCAGAGCTGTTCATGCTTAGATACAGCAGGGATATAATGAAAACACACATACAGTATAAGTGATAACATACTGCGAGGTTATGCTTTGTTTGTTTCCAATCCACTTCATTGATTTTGTTGAATATTATTCTTCATAACACATATCACAACGTATCTTGACTTAGATCAGAAGTAGAATCCCTTTCAAGAAGAAAATGTTTACAATTGAGTAAAAATGTCAAGCAAGATATCTTGACATCTGGCCTACACCATTTTTCTCAGGTTTTTCTTTCATTCTAAATAATTGTTTTTAAGAAATAAATATAATGCTGAATACAATACTGGATACTTGATATTTTTAAGCCAATCCCATATAAAGACTGCAGTTCAGTACAGTAGACAAACAGCATCAGAAACAATCAGGTGATGTATGTTTTTTCAGGCAAACAAAATGAGGCTTCCAGCTGTGATCAGTGAGATGGAAGCAATACTGGTTGATTAATTATCTAATTTATCCTTTGTTGTCATGTGAATGCAATCTTCTTTGAGAGATAAAAGACATACAAGTCTTTATTTCCTGATTTTGATGTAGCCAGAATCCCACATACTGTAGTCTCTGTAATTGAGGTGCAGCTTGATTTTTCAGTATATTTGAGAAGCTTTTTAAATTTTTTTAATGTCCTTACTGAGCAAATGAATGAAACAAACGTGTCATAAATGCATAACACAGGGTATCAGTGATCACATCAGCAAAGTCTAAGAACTGTGTATCAGTGAACATAACTACAGCACTGAACACATTTTGAGAAATATTTGCCTTTGGTATGTTTTCTAAATGAAATCAGTATTAGAATCATATATTTTAATCATAGCATCTTAACAGTAGGTTTTATTTTACACACAAAAAAACAGGTTCCTTACTTGTGGGTATAAACCATCCAAAAGACATATGTGACCAAATCGTTTGTTGACAGTTTTGTTTTTGGAAGTATTTCAGCATTCTCTAGACAATCAGCCAGGCTATTTTGATATGTGCATGAAGGCTATGTTACCATGGAAACTGAAACAGTAGTGAATTTTTGTCTTTCTCACCAAACAACTCTATTAATGTATCCTTCCAGCACGCAGCCTATTAAAAAAAAAGATCAAAATAATCCATATTTGGGTATTACTTCAGCCAGTTAACTGATATTGGAAGCTGTATTTTTGATTAAAGCTGAAAATTAACAGCAACACAAAAGTTATTAGCTTACGATGCAAACACTTAATGTCTTATAATAATGTCATCATAACAGAGGATTGAAGTGGATGACATAATATGTTATTGAGGTTCTCTTTATGGTTGTTATGATAGCTTAGAGTCTTGAGACTGAACACTATGACCTCAAATCTTTTGGTAAAGAACTGTACCCTCTAACACACCTCACTTCCTACCATGTTTCCATTAGAGAAAATGTTTCACCAAGCAGTTGATGAACTGCCATAAGTACAAAGGTTAGTACTGCAATGTGAGGTGCCAACTGGAAGCAGCTTTAGTTATTCATGAAATTAACTGCACAGTTTATATTCAATTTCCAGAGGAAACCCACATGAACATGAGGAGAATGTACAAGTTCCACACAGATAGCCAAGCCCAGAGTCCCAGCACCGTGAGACAGGAATGCCAACTATTGTGTTATTGTGCCACTCTTGTTGAAATCAACAATGTTTCAGTTCAGTGGGTGCTGTAGTTCATAAGATTTTGAAAAGGTTTTTGAATACAGTCAACCCACCAATATGGTTGATTCGGAATCCCTGTTTTTGTCACAAATATATTTCTCTCCCATTATAAAATGTGAACAAAAAAGTTTGCAATCACTAAACAGTAAATGTAAACCGCTTAGAAGGTGCTAAAAGAATACAGGAAGTGTTGCTTCAGTGTGCAGTGATTTCAGTGCAGTAATACCTGCAAGCAAATTCTAGCTTAAGTTGTAGATGTTTCTATTAGGAACTAGAAATTAAATCCTATGTTTTGCCTGAGCAGATAAGAACATGAAGCTGTTTTTTTACCTTAACAGACAAGATGAGACTCCCCCCCCCCCACCCCACAAAAACAACACAACAAAACTATTAAAATAGAGTAAAAATCTGAATATATAATATTTTGGCCTTCTACGTAATGCACTCTTATGTATCATATTAGTGCATCCTCTTTTTAATTGAAATAATCAGTCACATTCCTTCTTGATGTATGTGCCTGCTGTTAAGAACAAAGTATCAGTTTGTGGTTCAGCACATCCCATCAGCAGGTAATAAATGATAGTGCATCAAGCTGAGAAGAAAGTAAGAGCCTCATGTGCAAATGCATGATGCATTTTGGGTGTAATTATCACAATTGTCTCTTCCAAAGCTGATTCTGAGGGGGCTGATTTGCTGTTCCTTAATAAAAGCACTTACTTGCCTGTTCCCTTCAAAACATCCTCTTCATTAAGGAGTGAACACGGAGTTCTGGGTACAGTGAAGTGTAAACTTCAGCTGGTGTCTGAGACAGATGGATTAGTTGAGTTCATGCCTCTGCTTTGTTGTACTTCCCACTTAATACACATCCATACACACACTGTCTGAAACAGCTGGTCAGGTGACTGTACTGGGAGGCATTAAACATGCAACAGATGAGTATTGGAGTCAATAGCATCTGTTTTATTTTTAATACCCCAGTGCATCATTTTCCTTGAGTGGCTGTCAACAAAAAAAGCTGCTTGCCTTTTATTTAGTATACTGTAGACTCAGAAGACTTGTGGAAAAAATTGAATATTTTTTTTTCCATAATATTCCCAGGAAAGATTTGTGCTAAATGAGCTCAATCAATAACCATATTTCAAGTATCAATATTTTTAGTGCTATGTGCTATATACTATATATACTACTGTATATTTAGTAGTATATGAGTACTGTAAGTCATAATCAAACTGTTAATCAACAGTGCCAAAAGTTATATAAGGTTATATAACCACCTCTCTGATTCTATTTAAGTGCCTAATTAATTAAGCCAAAGTCTTTAAATGTATACTGGCCATCGAAAGAAACTTATCTATGTTTATCCATGTTTTTAAAAGAATAAAATATATGGATTTTGGATATTGATTCAGTCAAGGAATAGCACTAGATCACATCATTAGAGAGAGTTTATTGGATTCAGGGAATTAGACCTAACCTTCTTAATGTCAAGCCTGGTGAAAAGAAAGAAGAATGCAGAAACAAACCAATATCCCCGGCTTATCAGGAGAGCAATGCATTTGTGCCATTGGTAAGCTGAAAGCTGGGCTAAGTCAGAACACCACTGCTTGTCATCTAGGTTGTCCACAGACTGGAGTCTCTGTCTTGGCAAGATGTTGTCCGTCAATGACAGGTCACAATCTGGGAGACCATGGGTCATGACACCTCTCCAAGATCGAGGGGGAGATCCAAGGGTGCATGTCTTGGTAGGAGTGTCTGTGTGCTGCAGAACTCTACTGGTAGTGACTTCAGAGTGCTACAGTACATTGATCATGTCCTGTCACATCACTTTGTGCCCATCCTGCGTGCTCATCCATTCGACGCTACAGTACTTGTGTAACTATGGCTTTCTTCTGAGAGGAGTTGATGTGTGGTATACTGTAGCAATGCCAGGGGCGACTTGCTCACCAGACATGAGTCTCAGTGAGCTGGGGTGACACACTGCACCCAAGACTCGGAGATCAGGAAATAGGCACATGCTTATCCAGGCCCTGTGAGAAGAATAGGACAGCTTTTTCAACCAGGTGCAGAGCATGTGTGGCAGATACTGTATAAAGCCTGGATTCTAGTAGTCTGTAACGTTCACAGTAGTACCCAGTTGAGGTTGATGACAAATGTTAATCAGCAGAATGAATTTACTTGTCATGTTGTTTTAATTAAGTTAGTGCACCTGCTACAAAAAGAAGGACATTTTCCTGATAACTTTGTGAATCTGTGGCAGTTGTGAGTGATACATTTCTTTTGATGTTCAGCATGGTTTTGTAACATTTATCTGCCATATTGCCACATGATTCAGTAACACCAATAATATATTTTGAAAGGATGGGGCTGAACGTTTTTGGCAGTGCTGCTATGCTGTGATCAAAAACCAAAATACAGTACTGCCACGTCACAGATAATGTGAAAACATTTTCATGCCACTGCATTCTGTGATATAATAAATCATAATATACTGTATATATACTGTACATACATAGCGCTGGCACTGCTCTAATGTGAACGTGGCTGGTAAGCAAATAGTGTAAAGAGATTTACACAGAGAAGTGTTAGTCTTTGCAAGCTAGACAGACAAGCTAGACAGAATTAATGTTTGAACCTCCTGCAAAAAGTATCTATCCCATTTCTGAGCTAGTGGAGCACAGTGACAAGTGCAATAGTGAAATAATATTTTTTTCTTCTTCATTTTTAGTTTGGCTTAAACTACTTTTTCTTTCCTGCCCCTCCTCTGGAAACTCATCCACGCTTACCTTGTGCTGTCTTGGACAGTGGAAACTTTTATTGTTCTGAGTTCTCTGCAGGCAGCACCCTGGGAGCGAGATTATGTCATAATATTCTTCCTGTGATCCTCTGCCACAGCTGTTGCTGCTGATTATGAGCTGGAACAAGGTTTTAACAATCTCTGTCGTTGTTCAAAGCACTACTGATAACACATTGCCTGTGTTGCTCTGAGACAATTCCATAATTAAATTACAGATTTACACGTGAATGTTGTGCCTCATGTAAATAGCTGTCTTTAATAGCTGTCATACAGTAAATCCGTTTTGTCTGTGTTTCACAGTAACGCATCCTAGAAACATTACTGGGTCCTTTCCTGCTAGGCATGTTCCTCGATGTTTTAATTAATCACACTTTCATTTGTTGTATATTAAAACATAATTATTAAAAATACCATGTTGTGTCACAAGGCGAAGACACAATATACTGTATATAAATGATTTTAAAGTACCTTGGAACAGGTGAAATCCAGCTTAATGTTAGATCAGCATGACCACTGTTGTGTTATTACACAGCCTCACAATACTCCCCTGTGACACAGTAAACCCACACCCATTGCCACAGAAAGCAAGAGAGAGTAGTATTTAAAATACCCTGCAGGGGGCTACCACAGTCTCTTTGAGACAGCCATTATTTTAGTAATCTTTGAATTTTATTAATTTATTTACAGATTGATCTGCCGCAGAGCATTTTAAAAGACAATTGAATGTCCCCCACCATTAACTGAGTCTCTCTCACCACATTTCCTAAAGATCAGACGGCCAGATTAGTCTGCCCAGGGTGCTGTTGATCCATCTGGCATGCTCAAAGAACAGGCAGCTTTCAGTACAAGCAAGCAGTGAAGAGTGTGAGAGCTGGGCTTCATCACCTCACTGTTAGAAGTCTGTCTGGGTCTTGTCTTGGCCAGGTGATTTCACCCTGGAATTTGACAGTAAGTAGGTGCGTGGATTGTGGAGAAATATCATGCTTAGTAAAGTTTAATTATTAATAGCTATTATGGTATGTAATAATTGTAAGCCTCATTGCACAATATGTTTTAAATCTCCACCTTCTTTCTTCTGAACACCATAAAGTTTTTACAGTACATTTACCTGTGTTTACAATACCAATTGTATTCCTCTCTTTCATTATACAATCATTCTTACCTTCTATGCATACCACACTAATGAATTGTTCAATGTTCATTTGTCCCGACTGTACTTTTGGGGGATTTTGCCCTAGTTAGAAGTGATTGTTACATGACACTGGTTTTAAATTACTTAAAAAACATTGGAGGAAATCATTTTCGGAAGATAATTTGTCCAAAAGTGTGGCCGCACTTGGCTGACCCAGCGATACCCTGAAAAAGAGAAATATAAATGGAATCGAAATTAACTGGTGTGGAAAATCTTTAGTTTTGTGTCATCCAATTGCCAGGGTTGCTACAGAAAAAAATATATTAAGCACTTCCTTTGGAATTAGTATAACAGTCTATTACACTGTTAAAGGCTTTATTTCTGAGTTAAATCCTGTAACAGAATACATGTGGAGACTTCATGCACACCTGTTGACCCATATACAATTACCATGTAACCTGCCGGTAGCACATAACCCTGTGAGTATAGTGCAAAAGAACAGCATGGCTGTTGACCTCCTGCTTTTAACAAGACAAGAAAAATGAATCTGGATGATGCACAAATGTAACAGGTCTGTCCCTTTTGTACAAGCTGGGAGCTCAACTTCCAGAGCTACTGGATCCTTGTCCATCAAGTGGAAAACTGCAGGGAACCCAACTTATAAGCTCTGAACACAGCCCTGTCATGATAGAAAGAAACACCCACTCGCACCCTGTCCCAAATATACAGAAACATCCATTCAAACTGCTTTTGAAAATCCATTATTTGCTTAGAATGGAACTGTCATCTTATTGTGGAGCTTTATATGTAACTTTTGTAGATTCTATAATTTAAGAAGTGAGGATCCACCAAATAAAAAAAAAACATTTATAAGGCTGTATGAACTTTAACCCTGAATTGCTTATAAATAATACAAATATGGAGAAAATAAATAACAATGAAAATATTTATACATTTGCTAGCAATTTAATCTTCAGGTTAATTATGTATTTTTATAGCTCAAAAACGTTCAGACTGACCTTGGTGTTACTTTTTCCAGAAGTAGTATTACAGCACAAAAAAATCAAAAAACAACTAAACATGGAACAAAAGCAAGAAATTCTGGTCAGTTAAATGTGTGGCAACAGTTTTAATATTGCAAAGCATGAGCTAACCGTAAAAATGAAATACATGTTTCATTATGGGAAAATAAAAAGTTAATAAAAATACAGCACAGTAATTTATGTGATTGCTAGGTGGTTTTTGAAATTGTGCCATAATGGATTTGTAGAGGGGATTTGATCCAGTTAAGTAGGCAGTGCATGGTCTCCAGTAACAGGGAAATGTTGACTCATTTCTCTGTCATTGCACTCAGCAGGACGCTAAGTGACTTTGCTCGTCTTCACAGTGGTTTGTTAAAACACTTAACGATTAAGGTCCTGAAATAATTTTCTTTAATTTGTTCATTTTTTACAGAAGAAAACAGAATGAACAGAGCAGCAGAGCAGGCCCTGATTCCTAAACCGGGCAGTGCAAAAAAGCTGCAAAAGGATTCAGGAAGAGAACAATTCGCTTCCACTGTAATGCAAGTCTGATCATCTGGATTTTGAAGTATTAAAAATACAACATGGAAATGTAAATCCTTGAATGGTACTGTCTGGATCGAGATCAAATGTGAGACCTAATGCCAGGAGAACCAGATAGTGAGCCGTGCCTGGCAGGCAATTATGTTTGGAATATTAAGTTCAGATGGAGCCCGGTGATGTACTGTATCATCTCATAGTTGCAAACACATAGCCTCTTAGTTTAGAGAATTATCTTCTCCCTCAAAGTTTCATAAAAAAAACTCAAATATATGGCCTACTTGAAAGAAATGGTCCTATATATTGATGTCTTATTATATATTCTGCTTTGTAATGTAGCCATTTTCAGTAAGTAGCCTTTTTCATTTTCTAGACAGTTTCAGCCTTTTCTGCTGTTCTCTTGCCTGCCATTAGTTCAGCTTCATCTCTTTTAATACCTTGTCTGTGACCTTTGTCTTTGGTGAGAATTCTGAGTTGTTTTCTTTTATTTCCAGTCTTGAGGTATGTAATATAGATGATGTTTCATATGTTGACGATTATCATTTTTGTCTGCTACTTGCCTAATTTAGGGAGAAAAGTGTGCACAAAGGCCAAGGAAATGCCTTTGAATTTTTTTATTGAGCCCAACATGACTTGAAAAACAGAAAGAAGTGTCTTTTTGACTGGTCGTGCAGTGTGTAGAAAATGACAAATAAGGGACAATGCCTGCGTTTTATCAACAAGTACATACAGTATGTATAACATGCAGTTTTTAAACACTTAATATTCTTTTTAATTGTAGATGTCATTACTGAGTTATCATAGCAAGCAGTATAGCAGAGACCACAATCATTGCTGAATGACCACCATATTCTGTACATTTTAGTCCCCTATCACTACTGAGTTACTGCAAGACGTCAAGGTAGAATAACAGAGAGTTTAGATCAGTTATTATTGAATTACAACTACATTACTGCCATTGCTGATTTATGACTGTAATTAATTTATTTTGGCTTATGATGAAATTAAGGTTTAGGTTGTTTTTGTTGAACACAGAAAGTCTTACCTGAAGAAAAATATGAGTATTCAGGTAATGTCCAGAACATACAATGCTGCTGAATTATTTAGGGGTTGGTTTCTGAGGCCAGGAAAACTCATTATGGCGTGAAACCACTTGGCTTTATCAGGGAGGGAGTGCAATTTTCTCAGCAATTTCAAAAACGATAAGAAAAAAAAAGCCACTAAAGGCCAGGATGTGCATTTTAAATTTCTGTCTATCTCACTAAGTGCTCTATCAAAAATTTAAAACAATGTAGCTGTTGTTTTTTTACCTTTATGGAGGAAAAAAAGATTTGCATTAGGGAAGCAGAAGTAGGACAACTGTCTAAAAAGCATGCAGCACACCATAAGAGAAAAGAGAAAAGATTGATTCCCAGACAAGAGATACTCATCTCAAGACTAATTGATTGGACTCTGGAGGTTTTAAGCAAATAGGTATATTTCCTTCATGAAAGTTCCAGTTTTTATCATTTTGTTCTAAAAAAGAAGTATTCAGTTAACCAGTACTGATTTTATTTTCTGTCAGATGTGAGCAGCAGTGTCTTGTTACTGTACTGTAAGTGTACTATCCTGGCAAAAAAAACTTTCCATGCTGCTCAATGGGATTTCAGACCTGACCCGACCCTCTCAGCCTTTTCTGGACTTCTTCCAGGAAGCAGCTTCACTGTTGGTCAGCCATCAGATCAATTGGAATATCTCTGCTGTTTCTACTAGCTCATACTTTTTGTGTGAGTTTACTGCACAGTGAAGGCCTTTAGGAAATCAATGCAAAAGCTATATAAATTAGTGACAAGCAGTGTTAAAAGTGGGACTTTCTTGGCTACCTTCTGTCTGCTTTGAAAAAAGCAGCTGTTTAAGAGCTGTTTTACAGCTACAGACGCCTGGAAAATATCTGAATAAGCAGCAGCAAAGCTGCTAAGCAGTATGAGTAGTGTGTACTAGAATATAGGAAAACTTTGTCTTTCCTCACCCTATCTGCACATTTGTAACTGGCCCTTGGTCACTCCTCACTCTTCATGCTGGGTCCTGTGGCCACTTCAGGCAGTCGCGTTAGGCCAAATGTCACTGAATTACAGTACATACACTGTGTGAATTACAAACAGGAGAAATTAATTTATGACCTGAATCCAATCTCAGATTTCAATGTATTTACAGTACAATCACAGCCTTTGACATCACTAAGAGCTCTGGTCACAAGGATAAAGTGGGGTTGTATTTCAAAGAGTAACAGTTTGCTTTATTGGAAAATAGTAAAATCATTGGTTGGTTGACATGGCCTTTGTGCTGTACAAAAGAAGCATTTTTTAAAAACAGCCCTGTGCAATTGTATACATTAGAGTTTCAAGACCAAAATACCAGTATGCCAGTATTAGGTAAGCAATTCTGTTGCGCTTGCTTTCAAAGACAAATAACTGAGGTTAGTATCTGTCACATACAGAATGAAACTGCACAAGCTTTTTAAATGAGAACTTAATCTATACTTTATCAATCCCTTTCAAACCCTGTTGATATCCAAAAGATAAATGTGCTTTATCTGTTTCAAGGGAACCTTGGCACTGCTGTATATAAGAGCAGAGAAAGGAAATGCCATTTTAATTACAGGAACAATACGTAATGACATCATGTACTGTATAGTCTAAATAATTTGTTCTGCCTATTTGAAAGTAATTGCATATATACATAATGTTTTTATGACACATTCTGACATCAGCCATAATTTGTATAACTCATTATGTCTACACCTCTTTCAGTTTTTTGCAGATTGCTTATTTACTGAGCTGTGGTAGAAATCTCTGAGTGATGTAGTAGTAGCTCACTGCTAAAATAGTAATACCAAAGAACTGTATATTAATAGTCTTCATTCCAGGATCACTTCCAGGTTTGCAATATCAGGGAGGCAACATAGAGATTTCTCATATGATGAGTCTCCATATAAGACTTGTTAGAATGTTGCTCAGCTCATCCCAATTCATGTTTCTCTAGACAGAGCTGGTCCGTATGCGATTCAAGTTATTGGTGTTCTCTCTCCCTCCTCTTCTAACTGATAACTCATCTACGAGATAAAAAACCAAAATCAAAGTACTCTGGTTCACCCTTCCTTCCCAGCAGTGTTAAAGGGAGACTGTTTCTGTATTAATACATATATTTACAGTAAATTGCCTGTATCTTCAACTTGTTTTTTTTTTCTGACACTTTCTGCTATAGTGCACTGTATAGTAAAAGTGTTGAGTGGAATGGTTAGCATTCCCATGTCCTGAATTTTAGGACGAGATGTAATTTCGCTCTAACTTCAACTTTTATTTTTGGACACTTCTTGCTGCTCATGTACAGTATCACATAACCTGTTCTACAGTGTAAACTCTCTTAATTTCGTCATTTAAAATGCAACAAAACATAGAGCCGCAGACAACCTTTAACGGATCCTGTAACCCTAACCCTACTCTGAATTTAAATGCAGCCTCGTTTAATTACCAGTTTTAACGCCTGTTTCAGATGATTGAAAACATGTCTAAAGAAGATACGGTATTGAAGAAAGTAACTTTCCAGTAGGTTTTTCAGTGGTTTTGATCACTTTAGACTCATATTTTTGGGCTTGAGGAACACATTGAAATCTGATGTTTCAAGGGCTCAGAGACAGATTGCAGATTTGCTCTTTTGAAACCCAGGCTAGGGTTAGGGTTAGCATTCCCACACCACTGAGACATCTTCTACGCTCGATGCTGGATTCTGGGTCCCACCTGAACTACAGGACGAGTTATAATTTGCCCCATCTTCAATTTTTTCTCTTAGACTTTTTGCTGCTCCTATTGTATATTGCATTGTAATGTAATTGTATTCCAAAACTGAGACAGATCAAAATTTGTAAGATAACTTGTTCTACTGTATAAATTCTCTTAATTTCATCATTTAAAGTGTGATAAAATATAGAGCTGCAGACAATATTTAATGGTTCCTGTAACCCTAACATTAACCTAACCTAACCTAAAAAATCATATACAGACTCATCTAGTACTGTACATATATATCTCCCATCCTCTCAAACCTAGGATAATTCTTTTGTTTTTGTCTCCAATAGAATGCATCTTCTCTGGCACATAGATTAAACTGTAACCTTCATCCTCTTAAAGCCCAAGGTACTTTCATTAGAAATGTGCCAGTTATCGATCTACAATCTACTTTTTTTGTGCCAACAATTAATGCAATATACAGTAGCTTTGTTTTGAAGAAACTGCATACACTGTAATTGCAAATCTTGCTCTCAGGAAGATGGACACAGTATTGAGTTTAATATAAGTCATACACATAATACTGAAGCACATTTTCAGGGTTTTTTCAGGGTGTCGAGGTTACATTTCATGATATTTTACCTAGGAGAGAGGATATTGACATGCCGTAAATAGTAGGAGACAACTGTAATTGGTCCACTAGATACATAAAACCACTGGCAGGTGGTTTGATATGATAAAATAAGGCAGACAGGAGCCTAATTTAAACCTTAACTCACCCAGACAGAGTTTATTGCTCTTTAATTAAAATGTATTATCAGGAGTGGCTTTCTCTATCATTCTACCTGTGTGTTCATGTGTACTAGAGTCAAACGTAGTACAAACTTACTATAGCCAAACAGGCTGTTAGCATGTATCTACAGTCTCTCACATGCATCTCTTACACTCATTTGAATCCAATGACTCAAATGTATCATGACATATAAAACAGTTTAAGGTTTTTGCTATGTAATTCTGCCATGAGCAGATATGAAAGCTCATAGCACATGTTTGGACACAGTAAATACCTCATTACTATGAATCGTCAGAGACTTCCATAACTTAGAAACGTTGTCTAAAACTGGAATTATGTGTCTGAAATGAATTGTAGTGTCACTGTACACTTGAGTTTCCTCTCGCCTGCCAGGAACATGAAGGTTAACTGGTATCCCTAAATTGTGCCAGTGTGCCTGTGTGTGTCTGTCCTGCAATGGATTGGCATCTTATTAGGGGTGTAGTCTTGCATTATGCCCTTTGCCTCTGGCACAGGCTTTGGGTCTCAGGAATAAACCACTTTCTGATAATGGATGGCTATTATTGTATTACCTTGCAGATGAGTTCCGTTTTTTTTTAAAGATTTAGGAGATTTATTTGGATTTTACAGCAGGTATTTGAGTGTTATTGTTAATATATGTACTGTAATGCAGAACCCTTTTTATAAAATTGTATAATGCTTTTCAATTTAAATGTGTTTGTTTTTGTCATCTAGAATCACACTTTGTTATCTAAAGGCTGCAGGACCAGGCGCTCTGAACACATATGTCAGAGTGCAGTGGCTTTTATTGATTTTTTTGAGAGTGGTCTCTAAATTAAGACCTGTTGGATTTGCACTCTCAGTATTTATTCCCCACAGTCTGAGAACAACGTTACCACATACCCCTGCCATGCCACTGTTTACTTTGCATTAATGTGCACATTCCAGTGCTAATATGTCCCTTATGCTAAAATAGCTCGGCAAGTGCAAACGAAAGCAACCCGTGGTACAAACTTAAAGCGGTCCACACCACAGTTCCTCATTTCCTTTGCTACATTTCTACCTTTGTCAGAGCAGAGGCCTCTTCAGAAACACACAGCGGCTATTGGTGGTGTAGCACCCACCCCCACCCCCTGGCCTATTTAGCATTCCCATCAGAGAGCAGAGGTAACAAGCTTTGCATCTCTAGATCCACAAGGGCTCTCTTTTTGTGCCGTTAGAATCCACAATAATTTTATTGACATAACAGATTTAACTGAGCTGTTTCTTAAAAAAACATCATTGATCGGTATCCCGTTAGAGAATGAGGGTTTAAAAAAGACGTCGAGATCTCCAGGGATCTAGATCTGAAGGAAGAAAGGATGTCCACCACAGTAACACAGAACCCATAATTATTCATAACAACTAGCATTGTACTGTCCAAGACCCTTTTAGTCAATGTCCGCCTGGAATTTCCTCCCCTTTTATATTTTGTTATATCTCTGCAGCGGAACATAACAGGAGTCTGGTTCAAGTCTTAAATTGAAGGAAACCCCCTTTGGCTTTGAGTGTGAACAGTCAAATTTATTTTATTTCTTAATGTGTCCACTCAGCAGACAAACATATGAAAAGACTTTTTCTGCTGTTAGGCTTTGCAAAAAAACCTCAGAGTTGCATTCTGGTGTGACAAAAAGGACCGCTGATAAGAAACTGATTGATAACCCCTTCTGAGTCAATGATTGACAGCTAGAAGGCAGGTGGAATGCAGCCTGAGGCTTCTAGAGGACGTCTCACCCCCTAAGGGATCTGAATGGCTGAAAATACAATGAATGACAGCGTTTCTTACCAATCAGATCACCTTATTTCTGGCGGTCCTGTTTCAAATATCTGTTCCAAAGCCAATAACGTTCAGTTTTCTCCAGGTCTGGAGATGGGTTAGTCTAGTTTTTTGTGAATATATATCGTGCTTCAGAATAAGGTAAAAACATGGGATATATATTTTTTTGCTGGTTTTTGCTTTTTGTGGTCATGATTTGCTGACATATTGATTACCTTATTGATACACTTTGGAAGTTTGGAAGTGCATCATCAGATAAAATGAAAATCTTTATGATTGATTGCCTTGGTGTTTTAAAAAAAAAAAACAAGTTTTTTTTTAAAGCTCCGGTTATTCTTTTTCGATTGATAACAGGTTCTGTAAAGGTTTTGTGTTTTTTTTTGTAAAAAAATATAAAATATGACGCAAGACTCAAAAGTAAATATTGACTTACACCGTGGTTGCTTGCGCCTACGCGGCGCGCAAACATAATTTGAATAAATTACCCAGGTTTTTTGAAGTTCTAGTTGAATATTTTTCGATCGATAAAAGGTTTCGTGTAACGGTTTTGTGGTTTTGGTGATGTAAAACGATGAAGTGAGATGCTCCTTATAAGTCAATTTTTTCTCAGACAGTGGTCGTAAGCAGCTAAGTGGTTGTGTCCTCTCTGAACCTAGCACATTCGTGGCTCGAGCATCAAACATAAACCCAATTGCTTTAGACAGTGCTGCTAGAGAGTACAGGTACCTAAGCCTATCTAGGCAAAGGTCTAACGGAAAAGGGTTAGGCTTTCTCTCACCTCTTAAGGGACTCTTTATTCATCCTCTATTCATCCTTTACTCATTCTCTGGTCTCTGTCTTCTTGGGGAGGATCTTCGTTCTCACCCTCTCTGGCAGGTTCGCGGCTTGTTTTCAGGTGGTCTCTCATTTCTTCTTTCTTGCTAGGGACATGCGGCTTTCCTCTCTCTTTCTATCCATGTCTTCTCTTCTGTGGAGAAAATGCTAGCAGCTTTCACTATCTTTCGGTTAGCAAAATTACCTTTTTGCTCCTTGTTGACTGCCTCTCATTCCTTTATGCTCTGCCCACAATAAGGCTCACCTATGAGTAATATTTCACTCGCCACACTCCTGTGGAAGAACCTGGACCCAGAGGGCACTTGGGGAATTCAACACTGTGAAGGGTGGGGAGATCACATAGAGCACTGGGTGGCACGTTAGACTTTTCTCTACGCCACCCTCCCACTGCACTTTTCAATGGTCCATCTGTAAATTTGAGTCAAAAGAGACAGTAAGTTTGATAACAGCTTACGTTAAAGCTGCACCTTGTCCAAGATCCACTGTAGCTCCCCATAGGCCCTACAGAAAATACACTGAAAATGAACAGCGCAGTGAATTTGAATATGGACAGCCTTCCCAGTTTTACAGAAGTGATTGGTGTGATATGGATCTGAGAACAAATTTGCTGTTTGATAATTGGTGAGTCTTAATTTCTGCCAAAGTATTCCTTCATCTCTGACTTTCATTTTGTACTCCCTCTCCAAGAACGCTATTTGAATTTAAAAGTATACAAATATCTTATAAGAAAGAACAGTTCCTCTGAAGGAATGACAATGCTATGCATTGTGCTGATCCCAAGGAACACAATTACCAGGAACTGCTTATTTGGTATTTAAGTTCATTGACAGTTTAGAAACATTTGACAAATTCAGAATAAGCACAAAATTGTGAACTTTGTGGAAGTACTGTAAAGTAAGTCACCATGTTGTCACAAACCCCTGGTCTCACCACGGGTGAGATTGAGAGTTTGTATGAATTGCAACGTGAAGCAGCCCTTCCTGCTCACTAGTCACTGTAGTGACTAATGTAATGTGAGGTATGAGCAAATAAGTACAGGTTTTGCAGCAGACATTTCACTGCAGAAATGTCCCAAAGTGATTTGTATGACAAGTATTTGTCAGCAAAACCATCTGGAAGTTGAGAGCAATATTTCTATTGGATTAAAAGAGGTGTATTCACAAGCCTGCTTGTTTACAATGTAATAGGGCCTCATTCTGAATCGCAGAATATGGTGCTGTTCATACTTGGAAATGTAGTCTATTTTTAGACTCTTTAGGTTACTGTGTACATTTTACTTTTATTGTGGTTTGAAATGAACGCATTGGTGCTGAACCCTGAAATATAAAAATAGCGTTGCAGTTCTACTTTAATTGGTTTCAGACCTGGGCAGGTAATTAAAATAGTTTTTGAGGATGGGCTTTCCATATCAGAATTAAAAGCCTGGTGCATCTATTTGTTAAAATTTACCTTTTGCAGAAATTAACAGATTCTGCTTTCCTTTTAAATACCAAACTGCCCAACAGCCTTCAGTTTCAGGTGATAGATTGCAACTGGATCCTGTGACATTTCAGTTGTTTTTCTTCAGTACTGACTTTGCTTCCTGCTGTAGCACACAGCTGAAACATACAGTATACCAATCACTTCAGGAAATTGTCAAAGGCATGCAAGGCAATAGATATAATACAGCATTTATTTAAAAATGTTTAAAGCTTTCCAAACCTGAGGACGCTGTAAATAGTGATGAATAAAAGACAAAAAAAAATAGATTAAAAGGTAATAATAAGAAAAAAAGCAAATATTTTTATACAGATGGAATGTAGTGCGATCAGGTATAGACCTTGGTAAAAGGGACATTTTTAATCTTGGATTGATTAAAAGAACTAAAATCTTCTTCACAGTGAAACTGAAGACCTTGTTTGTTTATAACCTGACCGAGAGGAAGCATACAGTATAAATAAGAAAAGGCAATGGACCCAAGACTGAACTCTATGGCACACTGTGATAGGCTGGGGTCATGGGGGATTTACAAGGACCAAAGGAAACAAAATGCTGCCTGCCAGTCAGATAAGAGCAGAACCAGTAAAACAGTACCACTGATAGACACAAATGTGGGCAAGCGATTGAGCAAATTGCTGAGGTTGAGATACTGTATAATACAATTAACATACTATGTATTTATACATAGTATATAGCTAAATATACTATGAAATATATCATAGTACAGTATAAATTTTCGCTAAATAATTTAACTAAAAATAAATATACTATAAAATACCTGGGTTTTTTAATAGGGATAGCTTAATTATATGCCCTTAGTCCTTTGTGGGTTGTGTATTATTCATCCCTAATAGAAGAATTTATTAGTAGGGAGTTTTTAGTACAGGGAGCTTCTCTTTCTCTGCCATACAAAAGTGTCTTGGCAAGCCATACCTTGCTGTATATACAGTAGGTATTTATACAATTACTTAAAATGCAATTATCCATTACTGACACAAATGTCAAAACTGTTTTTGTTTCAGTATAGATTCATGGGAGTATTTGTAAGCTTTGCACAAAGATCTGTGCTGCAAGTTTTAGACAGTCAATTTAATAATCATTGTGTTGGAATTCTGGGGATAAATAGCTTATACATATTCATAAGAGTTTAATGAATATAATTGCATTGTTTGGAACCTGTACTGAGTTATCAGCCAGATTTAATACCCTTTAACGACAGTGCAATGAACTTTCCTCTAGGCACAGAATTAGCTGTGAAATGAAGTTGTCTAAATGATTTTTGTGGAGAGCTAAATACTGTGCACATGGCACTCCACAAGTTTGCTAATTACCTCAAGTCATTTTAGCCTATGAATACATATCATTATTAGATAGATTTAAATGGTGGAGACTGTGATCTTTGTCAGCAATAATTAGTAGTACAGACGGACTAAAAGACATCATAATGGAAAACTCACTGGTCTTTTAAAAACATCACTTCAAAATAAAATTGAAGACATTGGCCTTGTTTCCCTTGCTTGAATGGCTCCAAGGAGGATGGTTATATCTCTATATCTCTCCATCAGAACCCCTCTGCATTCCATTGGAGACCTATAAAAATACAAAAAAATGTAAAAATGTTCATAATTGTGTCATAGTTTTTGGCAGCTGAATGACATACTGTACTAAAGAAGCATTGTGCAGCAAGCATCAGCTGTCTGCATTGCAATTAGACAGTCAGTGAAGTTACCCTATCAGTTGCTTTGCTAATTCACTAGTGCAGTAGATAACATCACAAAAGATGTTTTTACTTTCATATTGTATTTTAACCCCTTGCTTTTTTGAATGGTATGAATCCCCAGCTTGTAGAAAATGATGATCAAAGCTAGCTGTTCTTTTGAAAGTGACTGTGCCTCTTAGATCAAACAAAACACGGTGTCCCAGGAAGGCTGGAAGTATCGTTAACGATACCAGTCATCCTGGTTTCTCATTTTTCACCCCCTTCCCTCTGGTAAGCTTTATAGGAGCATAAAGGCAGGTTGAGAGACAGTTTCTTCCCACAAGCTGTCAGATTACTGAACTCTACTCCCACCACTGGCTCACACTGGTGTTTTTTTAAGTTGTATGTTACTGAACAGCAGCAGCAACAGCTAGTTAAATGTTTGTTTTTGGGTGTTTCCTCAATGTCTTTGTATTGGAGCATACATGCAAATAAGCATTTCATTGCACTTGTGCATATGACAATAAACTGGACTGAACTGAAGAAAGGAAAGGGGCCTCTCATACCCGTAGGCAAGGTTAAAGCTCTCAGAGGTAAGATAAACAGCTCAGACTTCTCCTCCTGTGGTTATTCACGTTAAGGGACAATCAGAGCTCTTAGTTTACATTTCAGTGCTGTTATCACTGCCACTCCTACTAATGTGAAAGAATTCTGATTTGCATATACAGTAATACATATCAATCAATATTTTCTTCAATGTTCTGTTTATAACCTTTGGTACTCAAGGCAAAGAAAAAAAAGGTACAAGTTAAGTGATAAAATGTGATTATATCATTATATGATTTAAAAATAAAATGCTTTTGTTGCACATTTTGAACTGTGAACTGAGAGAATCAATTAAAGGTGACATCCTGGGCTGCTAATGGCCTTTATTTATTCCCTGTTTGTGTTAATATATACAGTATCAGTGCTCTTCTCAAGCAGCCCCCTGTCAAAAACACTTTTTCTATACAGAAGGGTTGACTACAGATGCTGTTTTTTAGCAATATGTTTATTGTTTATTAAGGTACAAGAATTTGTATACATAAAACAATATGACAATTACTGTACCCCTGAATATAATCACCCATGCTGCCCTTAATCCCAGAAAAAAGAAATCATTATCTTTATCGATTCATCAGATATTTACTTAAGTTCTTTCTTCTGAAACAGGAAAAAAAGCCCTAACAAAATAAAATAACTACAAGATGACATACAGTATATATATCCTGGTTGTAGGCCTAGTATAAGTGATACAATATTAGGAAATTGCTGTATAATTGCTGTTGTCAATACATTCTGGAGAAATTAAACTAAAACAAAGTACAGTAATGAAGTTCCTGACATTTTCACTTTTTGCAGTGTACAATAATGATGCTCAATGATGTTGAGATTTTGCTCAGCCAGCAAGTTTTCCCTTTCATCAATCTGAATTTCCTGACCTCTTCTAAGACTGACACGTTTCATTAGGTTGGGCTTGTCTGTGGGAGAATGTCACATGATGTGTGTTAAATGAACTTTGCAATAAGAGGTTCCACAATTCTGATAATTAGACAGTGATAATATATAGTACATTCCCGCTGCAGGCTGTGATACTAGCAAAGAGTTACCTTCCAGAGTAATTTGATAGGCACTGCATGGCAGGAAACTAGATTTCTCTTTTTATCTGTCTGCATTCATTATTTCCACCAGGGCTGTAATGAAGGAGAACATTGGAATTCATAGGGGTACACGGACATATGCCTGTTGCCACAACCATTAATGAGGGTCACAACTGTGATCCCGTCGTGGAAAACATTATAACCATTAAGTAACAGTCTCTGCTAGATGATTCACAGAGTTGCTTTTCAGTTTAACTTACATATCAAACTTTTCAAAGACAGCCATTTACGATGTAGAGTCCATTAGGGACTACAGCTTGGAGGAGGTAATGTAGCTGAAAACACTGAATGGATTAAGCTGACTGTAAACTGCAGAGTGATGTCTTTCACTCATACTTCTTAATATGGTTCAATTCTGTCTTGTGGGATTTGAGATGCTCTTTAACTGATCAGCCCTTACTTTGCCTCAGGGATTCTAGATACTGTCATAGGTGAAAAGTACACACACTCTTTTTACCTCCCTTTGCAGAATCTGCCACCACAGTCATTCATGTCCTTTGCCAAAGATATGTTAAAGCCAAGTAAACTTCATTAAACATAATATGCATGTGTGCTCCTTTATATTTTCATTTAAACTATTGTCTCTTCAGAATTTGTGTTAATAAAATAATTTATTTCACCCTTATTTCTTATTTTCAGAAATGGCATGATGGCGTTGTACCTGCTTGTGTCCCTGCTTTCACTCACAAGATTGATACTTCCATCTACAGTACATATATTGCAGTGCTTCTACAGCTGCAATTACTGCTAGCGCTGACACATCTCATCGTAAGTAGTATGCAGCTGAAAGAACATTGTGATCAGTGGATCATTACTAAAATAATTACCAAAACAGTACATTGTCTTAGGACATGTTTATGCTTATGAATGATTATTTTGGATTGCTTTTAGTACATGAATGCACTACAGAGCCATTTACAGTCACACAGTCTAGCGGACGTCAAAGTGGTCCTTTATTTTTGTGTTTGAAGGCTTCTGGCAGAACAAAACAGTTCAAAACGCCTTATATACACAGGAGCTGAGTGGCCCAAGTGATCACTGAGAGAAACCAATTTTCGTTTGGCAATTATTTTGCCGAGAGTAATGAAAACATAAACATCACCTTCACCATGTTTTACTGCAGCTCACTGAATCAGTGAGGCTTATCTTCCTTCATTTTATCAGCTGAAAGTCATGAGAATTTCAAAATACAGGTTGGTTTCCTTGTTAGGCTCAATAAACAGTTTATCTCATTCTCTTCACTTCCAGAAGCTGAAGTGGATTCCTCCACACAGAGGCGTATCGTGAGAGAGCTGTTTAACAGCGTGCTGCCGATGATCAATACCCGCCTTTTCCATCATGAAATCGATCAGCTCCTGGGTCAGGCTGAAATAGGCCCACGTGTGACTCGGTGACTTGTTTAGTCACTAATTTCCATGCAGAAAGGGGCATTGATTAGGAAGCAGCTCTGGAGGTCAAATTAAAGTCCATTAGCACTTGGTTGCACCCCAGGGCCTGTCTTAGAACAGCCAGTGTCCTTCAGAATATTAACTATAGCCAGGCATACAAGATTCAGATCAGAATGGTGCCTCAACATAAAAAAGCAAAAAAAGGTACAATTTAAATCTATTTTACTAGTCATACTCATTATAATAATTGTTAAAGATCGGAAACCAGTCATGTATGTTAAACATTTTGAAATTATTTTTGTGAAATGGTACTGCAACGGGACCACTGTAAATCCTTCGTGGGTCAATAGGAGATTCTCCATCATAAAAATGACTCCATTCACTTACATGCACACACTAAGGCAACATTAATGCACAGGTGAAGAAAGGATACTGACTATTTAATATTTTTTTGTGAATGCAAGAGGTTGACTGGGCTTCTCATTAACACTTTCCTGCTGTTATTATAATTATGTTACACTTCACAAGATCATATAAGGATATAAGGGGGAAAAAAGGCATTATAGATAAGCAAGCATACAGTATGACAATAAAGTCAGTCACTGTAAATCATCAACATACCTTAAGGACCTTAAAGATGTGTGATGTCATGTGTATTGTTATACTAATGTCATGTGATTTGTGCATTTAAAATATTTTTTCTATATAATTCTCTGTAGCTTTTATCTGATTTGTCAGCAAAATGAACAGACTTCTGAAGGCAGAAGAGCAGAGAGACACATGATGATTTATATTCCAGAGTTGCACTTTCACAATTCACCCAAGGGAAAATGTTTTTGTTTCTTTTCAACTGTAAGCATTACAAGAATAAAGAATTAGTACTTCAACATCTGGGTTTCTAGAACATTTAAGCACTGTACTTTACAGAAATACAGAATTTTATTTTTATTGCTGGCTAAGCAAGAGCAACAAAACCCAGATATTCATTGTCATTTATTATCGGCAGTGTTTAGCTTTTTTTCTTCTTTCAAGCTTTTTAAGCTAACAAACATATACTATTGCACTGAATACTGTTGCCTGCTAATGGCAATTGGCTTCTGAATTGGCTTGCCAGCTTTGTACTGGTAGTGGTATTTAATGGACAAAAGACGGAGAAAGTAGGCTGGCCCTCAATTTTGGCAAGAAAAAAGCCTGAATTATTGGAGCCTCCTGTACTTCTGAACTGGGGGGTCAAGAGGTGACAGAAACTCTTCCTGACATGTGGCTTTTAGAATGCCTCTGAATTGTATTGTGGCATGTGTCCAGCATGCAATAACTAAACTCCTATCAACTGGTGCTAATTAACTGTTTATCTGGAAAGAACCCAGTAATTGGACAGGCATGAAGGATGAGCTGTACTGCAATGCCCCTTAATTAACAGTATTTGGCACAGATTTCAGAATTCCCTGCACCTAATTTCATATTTAAAAAAAAACCCTCAGACTTACAGTCCAATCGTGCATAAAACAACGAAGTACTTAAGGAAGGCCCCTGAACAGATTTCAGATGATTTTAATTTCAATGATTTTTTAAATTCTGAATAAATACTTCACATACATAATAAACTTTGAAATACTGTATAGGGCTTCTACGTTTTGTGTGTGCACCACTTATTCAGAAGGAATTTAAACTTAATAGGTACATGTTTATTTAATAACGTATCTGATCTATATTATATATTAATTGTGCACAATAACATTCAAAAGTTGATCAGTGTTGATCAGAGATAAATCACAAATGGGCTATTTGTTTGTACCATACATA